GCAGAGGGAGAAGCAGGCTCCATGCAGGGAGCCCAACGTGGGACTCTATCCCGGGTATCCAGGATCACACCCTGGGCTGAAGGTGGCACTAAACCACTGGGCCACTGGGGCTGCCCTCAGAGCTGGGATTTAAACCCAGATCTGTTTGACTCTGAACTCTATGCTTTAACTCCAGGCTACAAATTTCATGCTGTTTGCAATCCAACTTGGTTTGATGTCTCTAAAGTATCTGACTAGCATATTTTTCTAGGAAATGAAACCTGGTTCATTCACTAAGAAAAGGTGACTGCTGACACTTCAACCTATGTCAAAATAAACACCAGAATAGAGAAGCAGACTGGGACAATATCTAGCACTATCATTTTTCCCTTATCTTGTTTCTCCATAGTAGCTATCTCTGATAAACAGAAATATTAGCACAGCAATACTTCTATATCCTTTTGGAAAAAGCATGGAATTTGTTCCTGACCCCAAGACTGATCTGGGGGACAACCATATACAATCAAATTAATAATCCTTTTGGTGTAGATCTAATCACCTAACAGAATTAAAAGTTCTTAGCATCTTAAACTATGGATCAGATTTCATCTTTCAGAGCCAAATGCTATAGCTTTCTGATTCTGTGTTATTGTGGCATGATAACATTCATTCAATGGTTGGCTGAGTTCTCTCTCTCTCTCTCTCTCTCTCTCACACACACACACACACACACACACACACACACACTGGTACTTAGAAAATCCCACATCTCAATTTATTAATCAAAGAATGAAATTATTTGATGGTCTAGTTCTCAAACTCACTTTGCTTCTCAGGTAAGTTCCAGAACAAATGATTAGCTCTTGATAAATGACTGATTTCTTCTGTTCCGGTTCACTGAAGACACATAAAGGCGCCAGAGCTTTCCTGAGCCAGCGTTTACCCCTGACCAGCTCTGGGTCTCCTACAAAATCTTTTCATTACCTAAATCAAGCAAGAGCTCAGTAATTCCAGGCACATAATAAAGTAATGACATGGAGACACCTGGGTGGCTCAATGGTTAAGCGTGTCTGCTCTTGGCTCAGGGCGTGATCCTGGAGTTCGGGATTGAGTCCCATATCAGTTTCCCTGCATGGAGCCTCCTTCTCCCTCTGCCTATGTCTCTGCCTCTCTCTGTTCTCTCATAAATAAATAAATAAAATTCTTTTTTAAAAAAATAAACAAAGTAATAACATGACACGCCAGGGTGGCTCAATAGTTGAGCATCTGCCTTCAGCTCAGGGCCTGATCCTGGGGTCCCAGGATTGAGTCCCACATCAGGCTCCCTGCCTGGAGCCTGCTCCTCCCTCTGCCTGTGTCTCTGCCTCTCTCCCTCCCTCCCTCCCTCTCTCTCTCTCATGAATAAATAAAATCTTTTTTAAAAATTAAAAAATAAAATAATAACATAAGAGATTAATAAGCTTGGGATGCCTGGGTGGCTCAGCAATTGAGCATCTGTCTTCAGCTCAGAGCATGATCCTGGAGTCCCAGGATTGAGTCCTACATCAGGCTCCCTGCATGGAGCCTGCTTCTCCCTCTGCCTATGTCTCTGCCTCTCTCTGTGTGTGTCTCTCATGAATAAATAAATAAATAAAATCTTTCAAAAAAAAACCCAAGAGAGATGAATAAGCTTGACTCTAATTTTCATCCCACACCCACCTCAGGAGAAAAAGCTCAAAACAAAACAAAAAATCCGCATGTCTTGAAGCCACACCCGAAACCTGGAAAAGGCTTTGAAAACCTATGTAGTACAATAATTTCCAAATGCTAATTCAAAAATTCGTGGTGATCCCTGACAAAATAGGCATTGGTCTAAAAAATACTGGAAAAAAAAAACCATAGGTGATGTAATTAAATTTTTCATACAGCTAAATCTACTAATTTAAAGAGTCCATGCTCTAGTCTGAGATTATATTTTGCCTAGATTTTTAGTATAAATTGTTATTCCTTTTATGGAATTAGGTAGTAGTTGTTTAAAAGTATTCTTAATTTAGCAAAATAGAAGGTGAGCAACAGTATGACAACTCACACTTTTCTCTTTTACTCATTAGTAAAACCCTGAAGTCTAGGAACCAGTGAACCACTTATCTGGTCTATCACCTGGCAAATCCATTTCACATGGATGAAAATTACATACCTATTTGATAGGGAAACACCAAACTGACCCTAATGATTTATTCCTGTCTAACAATCCTCAAGGTTTCTACCCAAACTAAATATTTTCCTACAACTGCTTAAGCTCATTTTCTTTCATTCTGCTTCAGTGGAAATAATAACTACTAACTATATTCTAAAACTCTTGCACTAATTTGTTTCATTAAGACTTTACTTATTTACTTATTTATTTGAGAGCATGAATAGGCAGAGGCTTTTTATTTATTTGAGAGCATGAGGCAGAGGAGAGGGAGAAACAGACTCCCTACTGAGAAGGGACCTTGGGATCATGTCCTGAGTTGAAGACTGATGTTAACTGACTGAACCACCTAGGCATTCCTTGGCACTAGTTTTCAAAAAGGTTTTTTGAGAAAATCCTTTTTGAAAAAAAAAAAAAAGACTCTCCCTGTTCAAAGAATGAAACTGGAAATCTAAATTAAGTGACTTGGATATCTTGTTTATTTATTAGATCAGGTAACTAGTCCTTTCCTTACTATGACTCTTGGAAAATCTAGGACCTCTTCATCTGCTTGTGCAACTAAGGTATGTCCCCACCTCCTCCCACTCCCAATTTTTTTCTCAAGAACCAGTTAGAGGACAATTTTGAAAATCAGAGACATTTAATCTAAACTGGCTGAACTGTGAAAGTCAGGGATAATAAAGGAAGGTGAACTTACACTTTTCATTTGTAAACCCCAGGTATACAAAAATGTGTTTTAATTTTTATCAAGAATATGTATTAATTTTATAAATTAAGAAAAATTTTAATGTAGAAAAACTGAAAAAACAAAATTGTTCCATTTTTTAGTAAAGTATATATTTCTTAGTCTCCAGGTCTCTAAAGAGTATTAAACTAGGTACCAGGATCCTCTTATAACATGAAGAGCGAGAGATAAAAGAGTTAGGTTTGGGTTTGCTCTTGTGACATAATAAATATATGTTTGGTATCTGCTCCCTAGTTCCTGACACAGAGCTCTTAATACCCTTGGGATTTCCTGAGTGATGAGAATGATAAGTGCTCTTACACAGAGCTCCTAAATCCTTTGAAATTTCCTGGGTGATAGGAGAACTTTTTGTTCTAATGTACTTGGTGGGCTCCTGAATAGCTGTAGGATAGAGGCTGGTTACCAGAAAGATCAAATCATGACTTCAGGCTTAGAACTTTCCACCCTACTCCCCAATCCCCAGGATGAGGAGAGAGGCTAGAGATTGAATTAATAATTTATCATGCCTACAAGCCTCCATTAAAAAAAAATCTAAACTACCGGATTCAGAAAGCTTCTGGGCAGGTGAACACATCCAATTCCAAAGGGACAGAAGCTCCTGTATTCAGGATCGTTTTGGACTTATGTATCTCTTTATCTAGCTATTCATCTGTATCCTTAGTTACATTCAACTAGCAAGAATGATTGTCATAAAAATCAAATGATTTCCTCAAAATTATATGAATTTCAATAGCAAAACAATGCAATAATGATTGTCATTTCTGATACCCTTGCTAATGGAAATACTTTGCTAATAGATGTAGAAAATAAATTGAGATAAAGCACAGATGCCCACATACATAATTCAAAGTTATGTCAGCTTGATGTTGAATGTATTCCCAGGGAGAGCTTGGTGGTGCTATTCACAGGCTGGGGTACACACTGCCTCTATAATGGCTTGCTGCAAAACAAACACTGAATCTTATTTTTGCTTTTTGCCCTTTTCCACAAAGGCCAAAATCCTCTTTGGATTTCTTTTAGTTAGCAAGTACAAGTACTCATGTAGGTCTTTTGTAAAAGCAAAGAGGTGTATAACAAACTTTTGAAAAGGTGGAGATACCTGTATTTCACGCTCTCCTAAAGTTGAATAAATGAACCAGTGGACTATTTCATCTAAACTGTGTGTGTCAGTATAAAGAAAAGACCCAAGTTAAACAGTATTTTTTTTTCTCCAAGCTGGTAGAATTTATCAGGAGGGAAAACAACAGGGAATATTGAAACATTAATCTGAAACAGTCTAGACACTCTTCTATTCTAAAGATTATTTATTTGTTTGAGAGAGAGTGTGTGTGTATACACAAACAGGGGGAGTGGTAGAGGGCGAAGGAGAAGCAGGGAGCCTGATCCCAGGACCTTAGGATCATGACTTAAGCCAAAGGCAGATGCTTAACCAGCTGAGCCACCCAGGCACCACGACATTTTTCTATTCTAAAGAATAACTTAGATATTTATTGAGAGCTATTTAAATAAAATATTCCCCCTAAAACCTCCAAGTTAACCCTGAATACTCAAATGCTGAAGTTTTTTCGGCTAATTCTGTCTCAAGCTTTACTTATGAATTTCTACTTTTGGCCAAAATGGTGTAACAAGAACTTCCTGGCAAACAAACAAAAAAGACAGACAAAATATTTCAAACAATAGTTTCAAGACACTAGACACTAGATAACAAAGTCAGTGATCTCTGAAACATGGGAAACATGAGATAAGCCATAGGACTACCTCAGCTTACTTACTTTTATTTATTTATTTTTAAGATTTATTGATTTATTTGAGAAAGAGCATGTATGTGCCTAAGCCAGGGAAGGGGCAGAGGGAGAATAAAAAGGAGAGGGAGAGAATCTCACACAGACTCCATGCTGAGTACAGAGCTGGATGGGGGCTTAATCTTACAACCCTGAGATCTGAGCCAAAATCAAGAGATGGCCACTTAATCAACTGAGCCATCCAGGCACACCTACCTCAGCTTACTTTCTAAAGAGAGTTTCCATGCTATAGTACAGGAAGAAAAAACTGAGGCAGAGCTTGGTAGACTGTGAGCTGAGGAGATAGAGATGAGAGGCCGGAGCCACCTCTGCCAGCAACATGTTCAAGGTAATTCGGAGGTCTGTGGGGCCAGCCAGCCTGAGTCTGCTCACCTTTAAAGTCTATGCGTCACCTAAAAGGGACTCACCTCACAAAACTTCTGTGAAGGTTAATGAGCTTTCACTCTACTCGGTTCCTAAGGGTCAATCTAAATATGTGGAGGAGCCAAGGACCCAGCTTGAAGAAAGCATTTCACATCTCCGACATTATTGTGAGCCATATACAAGTTGGTGTCAGGAAATGTACTCACAAACAAAGCCCAAGATGCAGAGCTTGGTTCAGTGGGGGTTAGACAGCTATGAATATCTACAAAATGCACCTCCTGGATTTTTTCCAAGACTTGGTGTTATTGGTTTTGCTGGCATTGTTGGACTTCTTTTGGCTAGAGGGTCAAAAATAAGGAAGCTGGTGTATCCACCTGGGTTCATGGGACTAGCTGCCTCTCTTTATTATCCACAACAAGCCATCGTATTTGTCCAGGTCAGTGGGGAGAAATTATATGACTGGGGTTTACGTGGATACATAGTTGTAGAAGATTTGTGGAAGGAGAACTTTCAAAAGTTATAGGTAAACATTGGAAACTCCATGCATTTTCTACAGAAAAATGGCAGAGAAGTCAGTACTGAATGTAGTAAATTGGCTTTCTTCTTCAGGAAAAACTATACCAGGCTTCTTTGTTATCTTGGGTGATACCATACTACCAGTGGACTAATCGGAAATCCTTTCACCTAGAGATAATGTCCAGCATTAGAACTCCTGGTTCTCATGTTGCTATTTATGTACATAATTAAAATTCTGAATTAAAAAAAAAAGATAGAGATGAGAATCCAGGAAGACTAAGGCTGCTAGAGTTCATAGAACAGAGTACTGGAGAGAAAAGAGCTGCTCAGGGCATCCTGGATATTTGCAGAGGGTCTTCTGTAATATTCAGCCAAGTACTGATTGGTGCATGTGTGTAAGGGAACTATTCAAAGCTGAAAGAACCATCTGAAAGTATTAGAAAATGGTATCTAGAGTTCACATAGGGCCAAAAATAGTTCCTACTACCAAGATTCAAAAAACTGATAATTCAACAGGGCATAAGGTATTCAGGAAGGCGTTGCCTCAGTTGTGAGAAATAATTAGCCTGAGACCAAGCATCACTCCACTAACTAAAAAAATCATAAAAGCAAGATCTGAGAGATTCAAACTATTTCTAAGTAACTTAACTGCATCCAAGGATAAAATTCAAGAATGATTATAGGTACACAGGAATATCTAGTGTACTCCAAAAATAAAATTCACAGTGTCTGACACCCAAAGATTAGATGGAAAGAAGGAGGAAAACATGACCCACACAAGAATAATCAATCAATTGAAACCTACCCACAGTTGAAACAGATATTAGAATTAGCAGTAAAAGAAAGTAAAAGTTATTAGACTCTATTCCATGTTTTTAATAAGTGAAAATACAGAAGGTATTTTTAAAGACCTTATTTAAGCTGTTAAGCATAAAAACCAAAGTGGACGAATCAAAAATATATACAGATTAGACACTGCAGAAGAAATTACTAATGAATCTGAAGGCATAACAATAGAAAATATTCGAAATGAAAAACAAAGCAAAGAAAGAATCCAAAAATTGAAAAAAGCATCAATGAACTGTGGGAAAGCTTCAAGCAGCATTATATATATAGGTAATAGGATGCCTCAAAGGAGCAAGTGGTGGGGAAAATGGAAACAGAAAACATATTTGAAGAAATAATGGAAAAAAGCTTTCCAAATTTGATGAAGACTAGAAATTCATAGTTTCAAAAACTCAATTAATCCCAAGGAAAAGAAACATGAAGAAAATTACACCAAGGCCCATCATTATCAAATTGCTCATTTTAATAGAAAACCTAAAAAGCAGCCAGAGGAAAAAAGATGCAGAAAGGAACAAAGATACAGCATCACATTTCTTAAAGGAAACTGTGTGAGCAAAAAGACACTGAAGCAGTACGTTAAAGTACTAAAATTTTCTCAATCTAGAAGTCTATACCCAGAAAATATACTCTAAAAAAAAAAGGCAAAATAGACATTTTCAAACATACAAAAGCAGACCCACAATGTAAGAAATGTAAAAGAGTGGGCAGCCTGGGTGGCTCAACGGTTTAGCACACCTTCAGCCCAGGGCATGATCCTGAAGACCCGGGATCGAGTCCCATGTCAGGCTCCCTGCATGGAGCCTGCTTCTCCCTCTATCTGTGTCTCTGCCTCTCTGTGTGTGTGTGTGTGTGTGTCTCTCATGAATAAATAAATAAAATCTTAAAAAAAAAGAAATGTTAAAGAGTATGCTTCAGGCAGAAGCAAATGTTATCACATAAAAATCTGAATCTACATAAAAGAATGAAGAACATTGTAAATAGTAAGTATAAAAGATTTTTACTTATTCTTTAAAATCTCTGCAATGATAATTAAATGTTTGAGCAGATATAAAAATATATTATGAGCTTTACAATATCCATATAAAATATACATGACAAGAGCATAAGGGCCAGGAGAGGAGAAATGAAAATATTCCATTGTAAGTTTCTCACCCTGTATGTAAAGAAACATATTACTTGAAGTTAAACTATGATAAGTTAAAATGAATTCTATTAACCTTGTAACAGAACCACTAAAGTAATACAACAAAGGGTTTTAATAAGACAATAAAGGAGATAAAAGATAATAATAAAGATAGTACACTAATCCAAAGAAGGCAGAAAAAGAAAGAAAAGGGAACAAAGAATAGAACAGAAAACTAATAGCAAAATGATAGATTCAACAAAACAGTACAATCAAATTAAATGTAAGTGACCTAAAAATACAATGAAAGGGCAGAGATTGTTGGGCTGGATAAAAACAGCAAGACCTAAATATATGCTGCCCACAACAAGTATATTTTAAATTAAAATATACAACTAATTTAAAATTACAAGGAAGAAAATATACCATGCTAATGATAATTGAAAGTGAAACAAGAAGAGAATAACAAAAGTGAAATGCTTTATAAATATGAGAAAAAGGTAAATTACAGAGCAAAGAATATTACCAAGGATAAAAGTCATTTCATCATGGCAACTAGTTCATCTAATTAAGACAATACAAAAATCTTAAATTTGTATACCCCTTAGAAGAGAATTTCAGAATACATGAAGCAAAAAATAATGAAACTAAAATGAGAAATAGATAAATCCACAATTATTATCAGAAAAATCACTATCTCTCACTAATGAATACAATAAGTATACAGAAAATCAGCAAAAATTTAATAGACTTGAAGGTCACTATCAGTCAATCTAACATAATAAACATCTATAGAACATTCCATCTAATGACAGAAGAATACATCCTAAAATCCATTAAGTAACCTCATAGGATTGTGTTAGCAAAAACAATCTTTAAAAAGAACAAAGTTGGAGGACTCACACTTCCCAGTTTCAAAACTTAGTACAAAGTGACAATAATCAAAACAACGTAGTCCTGGCTTAAAGACAGACACAGAGGGACGCTTGGGTGGTTCAGCGGTTGAGCATCTGCCTTCGGCTCAGGGAGTGATCCTGGGATCCAGTCCCACATTGGGCTCCCTGCAAGGAGCCTACTTCTCCCTCCCTGTGTCTCTGCCTCTTTCTGTGTGTGCCTTTTGTGAATAAATAAATAAAATCTCTTTAAAAAAAGACAGACATATAGAATTAATGGATCAGAATGGAGAGCATGGAATAAAATGTCACATGTACATCATATGACTTTAAACAAGAGTGGCAAAATCATTTAGTGAGAAAAGGATAGCCTTTTTAACAAATATTATTTAAAAAACTAAATATCTACATGCACATGGACACTTACTTTATGTATATACAATAATTAATTCAAAATCAAAGACCTAAACCTAAGAGTAAAGCTCCTAGCAGAAGACATAGGGGAAAACTTCATGACATTAGACTTGGCAATTATTTCTTGAGTACAACATCAAAAGCACAGGCAACAAAGAAACAATAAACTGAACCACATCAAAATTAAACATTTCTATGCATCAAAAGGCATAATCTACAGAGCGAAAAACCAACCTATGAGAGAAGGGAAGAGCGTATTTGTAAATCATGTATTTGATGAGTAATTTTCACAATATATAAAGAACTCCTATAAATCAATAAAAATGAAAAAAATAAAAATGGACAAAAAACTTGAATAAACATTTCTTCAAAGAAGATATACAAATGGTCAATAATCACACAAGATATTCAACATCACTAATATTACTAATCTTTAAAGAAATACAACTCAAAAACCACAATGACATGCCACTTTACTCCCATTAGGATAGTTATTTAAAAAACAATAACAACCAGAAATAACTGTTAATGTGGATATAAAGAAATTAGAAACTTTATGCAGTGGAACTGTAAGATGATGCTGCTGTTATGGAAAACAGTACAGTAGTTCCTTAGAAAAATTGAACATAGATTTATCATTTGATTTAGCAATTCCACTCCTAGATACATATACTCGAAAGAATTAAGAGCAAGGCAAACTCAAACTGGTATTTGTATACTGATGTTCACAGCAGCATTATACACCATAGCCAAAAGATGGAAGTAATCCAGGAGTCCATCAATGGATGAATGAATAAATAAAATGTGGTTTACGTATGCAGTAGAATATTATGCAGTTTCATAAAGGAATGGAATTCTAATATATGCTACAACATGGATGGACATCGAAGACATTAAGCTAATGGAAATAGGCTAGACGCAAAAGGATGAATATTGCACGATTCCATTGGTATGAGATAACTGGAGTGGTCAAATTCATACAGACAGAAAGTAGAATGGTGGGGCTTGGTGGGAGATGTGGAATCTCTGGATACAGAGTTTCAGTTTGAGATGATGAAAATTTCTGGAGATGGGTGATGTTGATAGTTACTCAACAATGTGAATGTACTTAATAACATTGAACTGTACATTTAAAAATTTCAGGGGATGCCTGGGTAGCTCAGGGGTTGAGTGTCTGCCTTTGGCTTGGGTTGTGATCTCAGGGTCTTGGGATCGAGTCCCACATCAGGCTCCCAAGAGGAAAGCCTGCTTCTCCCTCTGCTTAGGTCTCTGACTCTCTCTGTGTCTCTCATGAATAAATAAATAAAATATTTTTAAAATTAAAAATTAAAAATGTCAGAATGATAAATTTTTACCACAATTTTTTAAAAATTTAATTATTACAATGGTTTTATGTTATGTACTTTACCACAGTTAAAAATAATAAGCTAGAGGTGTCTGGGTGGCTTAATTGGTTAAGCATTCAACTCTTTTTTTTTAAAATATTTCACATATTCTCATTTTATTTTATTTTATTTTTGGTTTTCCAAGTACCTTTTCTTTTTAATTTATTTTTTATTGGTGTTCAATTTGCCAAAATATAGAATAACACCCAGTGCTCATCCCATCAGGTGCCCTCCTCAGTGCCCACCACCCAGTCACCCCCACCCCCCGCCCACCTCCCCTTCCACCACCCCTAGTTCGTTTCCCAGATTTAGGAGTTTTTCATGTTCTGTCTCCCTTTCTGAAATTTCCCACGCATTTTTTCTCCCTTCCCCCTTATTCCCTTTCACTATTTTTTATATTCCCCTCTTGATTTCAGCTCAGGTCATATCTCAAGGTCATGAGACTGAGCCCTACATCAGGCTCCAAGCTGAGTGTGGAGCCTGTTTAAGATTCTCTCTCCCAGGATGCCTGGGTGGCACAGTGGTTGAGCATCTGCTTTTGCTCAGGTTGTGGTCCCAGGGTCCTGGGATTGAGTCCTCTAAAGGGCTCCCTGCAGAGAGCCTGCTTCTCCCTCTGCCTATGTCTCTGCCTCACTATGTCTCTCATGAATAAATAAATTCTAAAAAAAAAAATTCTCTCTCCCTCTGTTCCTCCCCCTGCATGTTCTTTCTCTCTCAATAAATAAATAAAAATAAACAAGCTAGTGTATTGCTATTGGCCCTCTACAGCCCATCCCTCCCACTGATTACAAAGGAAAACTCTGGGGAAAATATAAAACCAACTACTTGAAGACTCTGAAAAGTAAAATCAAACAAAGGAGTCAAATATGGAAAAGTGAACTGCACAAAAGTGAGTTTCCTAAATTTTTCTCTCTTGTTGTCTTACAACTTTTCCTCAAGTGTGCACCCCAAACATGATGCTTCTCAATGAAGGCTCCTAAAACTCCAATAGAAACCTGTCTTTTAGACCACATAAACCAGAGAACATCCCCTTTCAGGCAGGAAAGTATGGGGGGAATCCCAAAAGTGACAGAGCCCCCGAAAAGCAGATGTCCTAATTCTGTATAGGATCCCATATAAGTCTCAATCTAACCACTGCACTGTGCATGCGCATGACACCCCTAAACCAGCATAGCTAAGGCTTAAAAAACTAGGCTTAGAGAACTTGAACCTAAAAATGGTAAGTTGAAATTCACATTCTAAACCTAATCAGGTTGATTGTCTGCTAAACAAAAACATTAGCATTCTCCAGAGAATTACAAAGGAACCCAGAGTCTATGCTACATAGCATTCACAACATCCATGATGAAATCCTAAATTACCTGACACACAAAGAAGGAAATTTGTCACCCATTATTATGGGAAAATATACTCAACAAACACCAACTTAGAAATGAGCCAGATATTGGAAATATCCAACAAATATTTTTTAAAAGCAACTATTATAATTCATATGCTCCATGAGGTAAAGGAAAATATACTTGAAATGATTCGGGGAGGTGATGGAAATAGAAATGTTTGTTGTTTGTCGTAATGTTGATTGTAGTAATGATTTGATAAGAGTATACTTATATTTAAAAAGATAAAATTAGGATCCTTGCGTGGCTCAGCCAGTTAAACATCTGCCTTTGGCTCAAGTCATGATCTCAGAGTCCTGTGATGGAGCCCCACACGGCGTTCTGTGCTCAGTGGGGAGAATGCTTTTTCCCCCTCCCTCTGCTCCTCCTCCCACTTGTGCTCTCTTGCTCTCTCTTTCCCAAATAAATAAATAAAATCTTTAAAAAAAAATAGGGATCCCTGGGTGGTGCAGCGGTTTAGCGCCTGCCTTTGGCCCAGGGCGCAATCCTGGAGACCCGGGATCGAATCCCACGTCAGGCTCCCGGTGCATGGAGCCTGCTTCTCCCTCTGCCTGTGTCTCTGCCTCTCTCTCTCTCTCTCTCTCTCTCTCTGTGACTATCATAAATAAATAAATTAATTAAAAAATAAATAAAAATAAAAATAAAAGAGATAAAACTGTATACTTCAAATATTGTCATGTAGGGGCGCCTGGACTCACTTGGTTAAACATCTGCCTTCAGCTTGGGTCATGAATTTGGGGTCCTGGGATTGAGCCCTGCATCAGGCTCCCTGCTCAGGGGGGAGTCTGCTTCTTCCTCTCCCTCTACCCCTTCCTCTTGCTCGTGCTCCACCCCCCCAAATAAATAAAATCTTTTTTAAAATAGATTTTTTAAAAATTATAAGTATAAGTAAATAATGTTATTTATTGTATGTACAGCTCAAGAAAGTTGTAAAAAAAAAAAGTAACACTAATCATACCTGTGCCAAGCACAAGGCAAATATTATTAATGACCATTTTACAGATTAGGAGACTTAAATTCAGAAAAATTAAGTATTTACCTAAGATTACAAAGCTTAACTGGGTCCAGAATTCCATGCAGACTTTTTTACTTCCAAAACTATATTATTTCCTTATCTGAGAAAACAATACAGTGTTACTCAATTTATGAGATATTAGGAGGACTGAATAGAGTATGTTTCCATGATACTAAAACTCCTATGAGATAGCTAACATATATTAGTACATGGATTTCATATCACCAATTACATGTTATTATTTCTCTATTAAATTGAACTAAATTGAAAGAAATATTCCCTCTAGTAGCAAATTTCAAAGGAAACACATAGCAGTGAATACAGCTTGCATTTTCTCTACTTTTCCACACAGCAAGTCTGAGAAATCCAAGAGAAACATTATGTACAGATGGTACTGTATGGGTTAACCCAATTATAAAATCTGTGAAAGATCTATAATCAATACATGATGATCTGTAATATTTCCCAATGCTTATGCCAATGTTTATTATATTCTTTTAATAAAAATCCCTGCATTAATCTCAAAATATGTTCTTAAAGAATGTTCCATTACATGAAAACACATTCATGATATGCTAAAAAATAAAAACAAATCACAAAAAGTATTAATGTGTTATTTTATTTTATTTTTTTAAAGATTTATTTATTTATTCAGAGAGAGAGAGAGAGGCAGAGACACAGGCAGAGGGAGAAGCAGGCTCCATGCATGGAGCCCGATGTGGGACTCGATCCTGGGTCTCCAGAATCACACTCCAGGGGCTGCAGGCGGTGCTAAACCGCTGCGCCACCGGGGCTGCCCAATGTGTTATTTTATTTGTTTTAAAATGCATATACCTACAGAGAAAAAGATTGGAAAGATACATAAAATATATCTATATTGTATTTAATTTATATATACATATAAAATATTATGTGGATGATTATGGGTGATTTTAATTATCTTTTCCTTCTCTGAATTTTCCACATTTTCTCTAATAAACAAGTAGTGTTTCTTAATATGGAAAAACAATAAAAGCTATTGTTTCAAAGTATAACAATAAACAAGAGGGTCCTACTTGTTAATCCAAGATGGATTATCTTTGCTTTCTATTTAGATCTGAGGACACCTGTCTTACAAGGTACAGTCACAATCTAGCACCACTCACCTGTCCAACTGCTTGCAAGTTATAGCAGACAATGTCCTTATTGGCTGCTGAAGCTCCATAAAGAAGTGCCTCAATGAGCCAGCATATCCCCAGGAGAAGGTCAGAGACGCTCAGATAAAAGAGAGGCCTTATCTGTCAAAGCAACATCACTTCATAAATGATGTAGTGAGGAGAATGTAACAATTACTTTTATGTTATACCTCTCTAGGAGAAACCTGGGCATCATTTTTCTGGGGTCTCTATCATTGGTGGATTGTGGGGAACGTAAAGGAATACCCCAGGTAGTAAGGGATTTATAATTGCAAATAACCCAACTGTCCTGGAATCAGACTACTCATGGGTAAAGATTAGCATTGGAACTTCTTACTCATAGACACATTCCTTCTTCAAATATAGTAACAAAGGAAAGTATGGACAAATAAGGGGCACCTGGGATAAATGTATGCCTTCAGCTCAGGTCATGATCCCAAGGTCCTGGGATCAAGTCCCTCATTGGGCTCCCTGATCATGCTCTGCCCCTCCCTCTGCTCATGCTTGTGTACTCTCTCTCTGAAATAAATTAATAAAAACATTTTAAAAAAAGATTTTATTTATTTATTCATGAGAGAGAGAGAGAGAGAGGGGGGGGGGCAGAGACACAGGCAGGGAGAAGCAGGCTCCATACAGGGAACCCAATGTGGGACACCATCCCAGGTATCCAGGATCACACCCCAGGCTGATGGTGGCACTAAACTGCTAAGCCACCGGGGCCACCCAATAAAATCATTTTTTAAAAAAGAATGGACAAGTAAGAAATTTTGTGATGGGAGACATGCCACAAATAGAAAATTAAAAATACTCTCTAGTTGCACAGCCAATATCTTCTAACAGGAAATGAGATCACCAGCTGAGTGTTTAGGGATATGGTTAAGGACTCAAAATAAAAATTTTGTTTAACTTTAATTTGCATTTTTGTGTTTCTTTAACATTTATTTATTTATTCATGAGAGACACAGACTGAGAGAGAGAGGGAGAGACATAGGCAGAGAGAGAAGCAGGCTCCTCGCAGGGAGCCCCATGTGCGACTTGATCCTGGATCTGGGGATCACGACCTGAGCCGAAGGCTGGTGCCCAATCACTAAGCCACCCAGGCCGTCCCTTAACTTGTATTTTGTATTGTTCTTTTCATTTTTTTAAAAGATTTTATTTATTTATTCATGAGAGATACAGAGAAAGAAACAGAGTCACAGGCAGAGGGAGAAACAGGCTCCATGCAGGGAGCCCGATGTGGGACTCGATCCCGGGACTCCAGGGTCAGGCCCTGAGCCGAAGGCTGGCGCTAAACCACTGAGCCACCCAGGGATCCCCTGTTCTTTTCTTTCTTTATTTATTTTTTTAATTTATGATAGTCACACACAGAGAGAGAGAAAGGCAGAGACATAGGCAGAGGGAGAAGCAGGCTCCATGCACCAGGAGCCCAACGTGGGATTTGATCCCGGGTCTCCAGGATTGTGCCCTGGGCCAAAGGCAGGCGCCAAACCGCTGCGCCACCCAGGGTTCCCTGTTCTTTTATTTATTGAAAAAATTGTAAGATATTTAAAGTGTGCAATGTGATGATTTGATATATGTGTACATTGTGAAAGGATTTCCCCAAGTTAACACAACCATCACCACACACATTTACTTTTTTTTTTTTTTTTTTTGGTGAGAACCTTTAAGTTCTACTCTCTTAGCAAATTTCAATTATACAACAAGTTTTATCAACTATAGTCACCACATTACACATTTAGATCCTCAGACCTTAATCACCTTCTTGCCTCAATGAAAACTCAGAGTAGGAAAAAATATCAGTAAGAATTGTATATGCTACCTTTCAATTTCTGACTCCATCAGTAAAGTCTGTCTTTCTTTGTCAATTTCTCGTATTCTTCTTTTTAGACCTCCCTACTCCCACTTTTCTAAAAGTAGTATTGGTTCTCCTACAGAGAAAATTATTTAATGTTTATTGAGAGACACCAAAGAGGACCTACAGTGAAGAAATATACTACACTCATGGATTGTAAGACCTAAGATTACATAAGTGTTGGTTCTCTCTAAATTGATATACAGATTAAATGCAATCTGAATTTTACCTCAACATATTTTCTTGTGGAAGTTAACAAGCTGGCTATACCTCTGAAAAGGAAATATAAGATGTCAAGATAAACAAGACATTCTTAAAGAAAAAGGAGAAAGAAGACTTGTACATATATCAAAGCTTAATATAAAGCTAGAGTGCAGATACTGTGGTAGTAGCACAGGGACAGGCAAATAGGCAAATGAAACAGATTACAGAGCTCAAACAGACCTAAGCATATATACAAACATTTGATACATGATAAAAGTGGCTTTTTAAAGAACATTTTAATTTTTATTATTATTATTTTAGTAATCTCCATACCCAATGTGAAGCTAAAACTCACAATGCTGAGATCAAGAGCTATAGGCTCTACTGACTGACCCAGCCAGGCACCCTGAGGTGGCTTTTTGGATCAATACGAAAAGGATAGTCTTTTCAAAATGATGTTGCAACAAATGGGATCTATATGGATTTAAAAAAAAAAAGTGGACCCCTACTTTCTGTCTCACACTCAAAAATAAGTTCCAATTTAAACAAATAACTAAATATGAAAAGCAAAAACCATAAAAATTTTTTTAGATAATAGAGGAGAATGTCTTCAACTTCTGGGCAGGGAAACTTTTCCTAAACAAAACAAAAAGACTCTAATAAAGGAAGTAACTGAAAAATTCAACCAGTGAAAAAGAAAAATGTGTCAAAAGACACCATAAAAGAAAGTGAAAATATATGCCACAAAATGGGAGAAGATTATTTGCAACACATAAAACTGACAAAGGACTGATATCAACACAGTATTAAAAACAAAAACTCTTACAAAACAATAGAAAAAATGGGCAAAATATATGAACAGGTACTTATGAGGAAATCCAAATGGCCATAAACATGGAAATATGCCTAACCTTATTAGTAATCAAGAAAATGAAAAATTAAATCCACAATGAGGAAAAAATTATACAATCATGGCAAAAAATTTTAAAGTCTGACAATATCAAGTATTAATGGAAACATGCAGCAATAAGACCTTTCATGCCCTACTGGCACAACCATTTGAAAAAGTTTGGCATTATCTAGGGGATAGCATCTCCTACAGCAATTCTGTCATTAGGTTAATATACTAGGGAAATGTTTGCATGTATGTATCAGAAGACATGTATAAGATCATTTATAGTAACACAGATACATGAATTGTGATATGTTCATAATACAGAATGCTAAACATCAGTGAAAATGAAATGAAGCAGAGCTTGACACAACATGAATAACTCTCACAATGACAAAAAACAGCAAATCACAAAACAATATATATTTAAAAATACATACAATAGTAATCCATTTGCAAAAAGTTAAAAAATGAGCTGAACTAAATTGTTTAAAGATATATACATTACAGGCAAAACTGTACATAAAGCAAAGAAATTATGGTCATAGAAGTCTGGATAGTAGTTACCTCTAGAAGTGAAGAAGATAATTGTGACCAGTAAGGAGTACAGTAGGTTTGTAATTTCTATTTCTTGTCTCTAGTGATTATAATCATTCTTTAAACAGTAATACATGTTTTATGCTTTCTAATCCACATCTGATACATATCACAAAAGTAAATTAAAATTTTTTCTAAGTTATTATCACATACTACTTAATATAAAAATTAATCTCACCTGTACAAAAGGGAATTTTTCTCATACCTCTCTTCCGAATGAGAGGAAAGCTAAGATACTACAATACCCTGCAAATAGGGATGCTTGGGTGGCTCAGTGGTTGACCATCTGCCTTCAGCTCAGCAGGGCGTGATCCTGGGGTCCTGGGATCAAGTCCTGCATCAGGCTCCCTATAGGGCCTGCTTCTCCCTCTGCCTATGACTCTGCCTCTCTCTGTGTGTCTCTCACGAATAAATGAACAAAAAAATCTTTTTAAAAAATCTTTTAAAAAAATCTTGCAGGATGCTTGGGTGGCTCAGCAGTTTGGCGCCTGCCTTCGGCCCAGGGCGTGATCCTGGAGACCCGGGATCGAGTCCTGCTTTGGGCTCCCTGCATGGAGCCTGCTTCTCTCTCTCTGCCTCTCTCTGCCTGTGTCTCTGCCTCTCTTTCTGTGTCTCTCATTAATAAATAAATAAATAAATTTTTAAAAATCTTGCAAATAGGAGTAAATAGTCACATTGCTTTGGCTAACAGAAACAAAAGCACGTGAAATAACATTTTAAACTATATTTAATAAATATCAGATATTATTAACCATATATAATATGTATGTGTACATATATGTATATATATACATATATACATATATATGTGTATGCACTATATATATAGTCTTTGCTCTGGTAAGCCTACTGAAATTCCAGCTAGATGGCACATTCACATATTCTAATGGCCCGTGACCTCCCACAAGTTTATAACTGTTAATTGGGTAAAAAATTAAAACTAAACATAAAATAAACTCTGAAGGAGAAAGGCAGCCAAGAGGCTTTTGTAAGCAAGAATGTAATTTTATTTATGGTCATTGATTCAATAAATAGCCTTATATAGAGAGAGTTGTTTGCCACTAAGACATACCTAAAGTCTTTAGCAGGAAAATGGAGGATAAAAAGAGGTTTATATATTTTCATTCATAATTGGAAACCCCTGGGTTCTAGTAACAGGCAATAAAGTCAATAAGTAAACAACAGAAACTAGCTCTAACAACTTACTGGCTATATTTAAAACCTTTGAAAAGTCCCTCAACCTTACTAAGATTCCATTTCTTCACTATAGTATCAGATTAATAAGATCTACCTCACATAATTGTTTTAAGTATTAAATGAAAAATGTATTTAAAACACTGAGCACATCTGCCTAGAATATAATAAATACTAAATACCATACTTAATTTGAAAGAGGATTGTAGTTAAGAGTTGGACTTTTGAAAATCTGTTCTGCAACTTAACTGTGAAACTTGAACACATATTTTATGACTTTGAGCCTCAATTTCCTCATCTATGTAATGAAGCTAATATCATCCTCTTCATGGGAGGGTGATGAGAACCAAAAAGTTCGAAAAGGACCCAGTATACTCAGAACTCAGAGTGTATTCAACATATGGAGCTATTTTGATTACTAAAGTGGGCCCTATAAAACCCAATCACATTTTCCACAAACAAAAGCTCTCCCAAATGTCCTGAACTATATTTTGTCTAATTTTGTGCCATTTGGCCTGATTAGAGATATAGTTGTTACAATTCACTTCAATTCTTTTCATAGATGGAAATACAACTCTCTTCCTAGTCCTCTCTCAATCAGGAAGGTTTTTTGTTTAACACCTTAAATATATATAATTTTTGTTTGTCAATTATACCTCAATGAAACAAAGACTTTTTTACTTGATCTTTTTGGTATGAATAACTTTACATAGACTGTATTTTTGCTCTGTTTTCACTACTAAATTTTAATTGCCTAGAAGACCTGAACAGCAAATCTAGTATCTTTTAGAGAACAAAGTCTCTGAACTATTTCCTATCCCCACTAGCAATGTTACCAAGATATCAATATCAGAAAACTCACCTCTCGGCAGGACTGTACTGTGCTTAGAGTGAATACGGGTTTCAAACAACTGTTTCCTTAACTTTAATAATCAATGCATAGCAAAAAAAATGTAGTTATAGTAGGCAATCTCTCAGTATTCAAAGATATAGTTAAAATAATTATCCAGAAGAAAAGAGAAAGCTATGACTCTGTCTAAAATATCCCACTGTATCATAATGACAAATTTACAATTAATTTATAGAATTATCCCATTATTTGTAGATGACACTTCTCATATTTATTTCAAAGGCTAAGTCACTGAAAGTTCAGATCCAACACAAAAAGAGATTGCTCACCTCTGGTGATTTCTGTGTATTCTGGAATACAGCATAGGCAATAAGTGAACTTGAACCTATAACACTGACAGTGATAAAAAAATTATCATTAAATGAGGACTACTGGGGCTCCTCCTTTTGCTAAAAATTTTTACAGCTTTACTGATACATAATAGATGTAAAATAAACTACATTTTTCTAAAATATGGAATGCTTCATGAATTTGTATGTCATTCTTGCATGGGGGCCATGTTAATCTTCTCTGTATCATTCCAATTTTTAGTATATATGCTGTCAAAGTGACCACTTTGTTACTGATTTTGCAAATCAATACTGTTGACCAAGTCTTTTCATGTTCAGATGTTATCCCTCAATCTGTTTTTTTGTTATTGTTGATGTTACATTTTATTAATCAGAAAATATCAACGTGGTGAAGAACAGTATTTCTCCCTATAGAGTAAAAACAAATACCCAGGGGAAAAATGCAGAAAACTTCAGAATTCTAGTTTTGCTTATACTAGTATAAGTGGACTTATACCTGGGTATTTGTTTAAACAGTCATAGTACATGAGATTAAACAAACTTACCTCAGAGTAGCCATAACAAATTGTATCCACTGTACTGCAGAAAAAACCTAAATAAAACAAGAAAGTGAATATAAAATTAAAACTTGTACATTTAATATTCAACCTTACTCCAATTTCACTGTTTAATAACTATCTGTATAGAACACAAACTCTTTAGTGCCTAATCAAAATACCCTATAAATCAGAGAAGGAGCAGAAAGCCCTTGGAAAGACAAAGTGGCTCCTTGTTTCCTCTTCTATTGCTTCATCTCTGGGAAACAGTAAGATAAAAAGAATAGACAGGTGGACAGAAAATGACTAAATGAAAAGAGAGCCAGATGAGAAGATTTAAAAAGGAAAGAATAAAATGGGGAATAGGTATGAAAAGTTAAATTTTGAGAGAAAAGACAGATGTGTGAAAAGAATGGGGAATAGGAAAGGCAAACAAATACTAAACAGAGTTAACTGACAGCTAGAGAAAAAATAGTAAGCAATAAAGAAATAGGAAGAAGTAGTTAAGAGATACTGTGAGTGGAAAAATACAGAACAAAGAGGAAGAAAGGGGGAACAAAAACAAAGAAAGGGACAATTTATAATCTCACCAAGTCCCAACTGTCCTCCAGAATGCTAACCTCCAGCAGGAAGGCCATAGGGACTTTAGCCTCAGCTATGCTTAAGCTACTGCTCCTTCCCAGGTTCTGAATCCTGAAGCACTGAACAGGTGGCTCCACCCCCAGCCCATCTGGGCTCCTCCCTACCCAGTCTTGCCCTGTGTCTTCAGGACAAGGAAAGAAGGCGGTGACTAGTGGAAGAGAAGCCAAGCAGAAAGAACAAAAATAGAAAGAGCAGGTGACAAGGAAACAAAGTCCTAAAAAGAATTAGGAATTTTAAGAAGAGGGAAGAGAAAGGAATAATAAAAAAGAGAGAATAGTGAAAAGATAAATAGAGCTGCAAGAAAGAAATGGAACAGAAAGAAATAAGGAAGAAGAGAGGTCTGTTTAAAACTTGCCCCGTTTAGGGACAAAAAGCCTGTGATGAAAAAGAGAGACTGCATATTGAAGCAATCAATAAATATTTAGTAATACTAAGAAAAGCTGTAAAGAGAAGGGGTTGTTAATATCTCATATTTAATAGTAACATCTGAAATATTCTGTACCAAAAATTCCCAGGGAAATATATTAAATTACATGATTCACTCACTATACTTACATTTATATATCAACTCTCTGTAAAGCATTGTGCTACAGAAGACACAAAAACAAATAAGAGACAGACTCAGACTTCCAGGAGCTTATAATATGGTAGGAAGAATGGCCTGACTACCAAAATCTCAAATTATCTGCACACAGAACAATATATACTGCCTGACATTTAAACAATATTTGGAAGAATTAGTGTATTTTAGACAAAGACTATGGTAAGGAGAAAGCAAAAAGAAGAACATTTAATTTATGTAACCATTTATCTTTCATCTAACTATACTTTCACGCACTTACAAATATTGATAACATAAACTGGATCATTTGCATGGGTTCAGTAATTTAAATATGTGATTCATTTATTCATATGAAGTTAACATATGATTAATTTATTCATCATAGTGAATAGTAGAAGAAGGGACATCATTAAATAGAGGTAGGTTCTGGCAGAGAACTGTTAAGTTGGAGGTAGGCTCTAACCACTTTGTTTAAATCATTAGATAAACAAGTTTAAAAAGTAGATTTCTGGATCATAAATCTCTACCGTAAGGTCTCAAGGAGTGTTCTGAGGCCTCTAATCAAATATATCTATCTAATAAGGGTGAGGGAACTAATGACAGTCTCACCAAGTGATAAGAATGCTTTTGGACAAAGAACTCTTGTCTCAGTCAAGAACAAATCTCCAATTGTTCAACAGCTATTCCAAATCAGTCTGTGGCTCTTGACGTAAGAACTTTTCTCTTTTGGAATCTCTTCTAAAATGTCTTGTCACTGACCAAATTCCCATTTGGGGATTTACTTTTCTATTTTTCTCTCTATATTAGTACCCTACTTTTTGTATATTTAGCACCATTCCCCCTTTAGGTGTCTTTTTAAAAAGATTTTATTTATTTATTCATGAGCGACACACAGAGAGGGGCACAGACATAGGGAGACGGAGAGGCAGGCTCCCTGTGGGGAGCTCGATGAGGGACTTGATCCCAGGACCCTGGGATCACAACTTGAGGCAAAGGTAGATGCTCAACCACTGAGCCAGGTGCCCCTGAAATGTCTTTTAAAACATAATCTTCCAATCTTCCTTTTCTGCAAGGGCTAACCTAAGCCAAAATGAAGTAAGTGATACTTATTTTTAGTTTTCTTTCCTTTTTTTACTTAGCTCCTTGGTAAGCTCAAATACATCACAGCTCACTTAATATAATGGGCTACTATATTTTATGTATCGATTAAATTAACATATTCATTAAACTTCTACTATCAGCAAATTACTACTGTGGATACAAAGTCAAGAAAGACACCTACCTAACAAAATATTTTTATTTAAGCAAAAATTATACTTTAACTCAAAGAAGACTTCTAGAAATAACATATACCAATTATCAAATGCTTTCTATATGTAAGGCTATATGCTAAGCATTTTAATTGTCAATATAAGTTTTGAGGTAAGAAGTAATATTTTCATTTAAAAAAAATTTCATAAGCTCCACACCCAAAGTGGGACTTGAAGAGTTGCATGCTCTACCAACTAAGCTAACCAGGCACCCCATTAATGTTCCCATTTTTCAAATGAAGACACTGAGGCTTAAAGAAGTCTCTTCTCAATGGTTACAGAGTTTTCGAGTGGTAATACCAACATTCAAATCCAGTCATTCTGACCTCATAGTTCTCCTCTTAACACACACAATATTCTAATGGAGAAAGAATTAGTTAATAGGAAGAAGGGGAAAGATATTTTTAAAAATTAATGTGACATCAAAGGAACTCTTCTATTAGGCAATTGCTTCCTAGATATAACAAATACATAAGCAACAACAGAAAAAAACAGATAAATTGGTTTTCTTCAAAATTAAATACTTCTCTGCTTCAACAGATACCATCAAAAAAAATGAAGACAAGCCATTGAATGGGGAAAAAATTATAAACCACACATCTGATAAAGGACTTACAGGGATCCCTCGGTGGCGCAGCGGTTTGGCGCCTGCCTTTGGCCCAGGGCGTGATCCTGGGGACCCGGGATCGAATCCCACATCAGGCTTCCGGTGCATGGAGCCTGCTTCTCCCTCTGCCTGTGTCTCTGCCTCTCTCTCTCTCTCTCTGACTATCATAAATAAATAAAAATTTTTAAAAAAAAGGACTTACATAAGAGAATATATAAAGAACTCCTACAGGGGGGGCCTAGGTCGCTCAGTCAATTAAGCCTATGACTCTTGATTTTAGCTCAGGTCATGATCTCAGGATCTTTGGATCAAACCTCACTACAGACTCTGTGTTCAGCATGGAGTCTGCCTGAGATTCTCTCTCCCTCTCCTTCTGCCCCCCCATGCACACACTCTAAATAAATAAGTAAATAAAATCTTTTTTAAAAATCCTACAATTCAATAAAAATACAATCCAATTTAAAAATGGGCAAAGGTTTTAAATAGAAATTTCTCCCAAATAAACAGATGACTAATAATCACATGAAAAGATTATTAACATCATATGCCAGCAGGAAAATATGAATTAAATCACAGTGAAATGCCATTTCATATCTACCAGGACAGCTATAATAAAAAAGACAATAACAAGTGTTGATGAAAATGTGGAGAATAGAAACCCTTATATACTGCTGGTGAGAATGGAAAATACTGTAGCCACTTCAGCAGTTCTTCAAAATGTTAAACACATACTATATGACTGAGCTGATAGGTATAAACTGAGTTCTACTTCTGGATATATACCCAAGAGAAATTAAACATATTCACATAAAAACTTGAACACAATTGTTCGTTAACAGTGTTATTCCTAAAAGACAAATGGTAGAAACACAAATGTCCATAAAGTGGTGAATGGATAAATAAAATGTAGTATATCCACATAATGAAATATCATTCAGCAATTAAAAGGAAAGTCCTGATGCATTCTACAACATGAAAACATGCTAAAGAGGCCAATCACAAAAGACCACAAATTATATGATTCTATTCATATAAATGTCCAAAATAAGCAAGTTTATAGACTCATGAGGTAAATTTGTGGTTGCTTAGGGCTAGGAAGGTAATTTGGGAGAGAATGGAGAATGACTGCTGATGGGCACAAGATTTCTTTTAGGGTGACAAAAATATTCTAAGATTAGACAGTGGTGATGGTTGCACACTTTATGAATATACTAAAACTCACTGGATTTTACACTTTAAAAGGATGAAATGTAAATAGGCAAATTTTATAGGGACACAGTAAATGTTCCATTGTTGAAATTCATGGTTTAATGGTTAATGAATAACATGTTTCTGTCTTTTCTACTGAAAAGAATAATATTTAGAATAAAGTGTAAAACAAACATTGTAAGAGGGAACTGAAGATAAACTAAGAGAGCACCTGACTGCTCTAAATAAATCCACCACTCCTAGTCTGAACAAATTACATTTCGGGACTTTGATAAAACTTGCAGGTCAACCCAGTAAACCACTGCATGAAATCTGAGAGTTTGTGTAAAAATGGGAAAATTGTTAGAAATTGTAGAAAACTGGTGACAACTAAATTTTTAATTTGTAAAAGGAGATAAGATGGTGGAATCTGCTAACTGCAGGTCAAAGATCTCAGTACTGATCCCAAACAAGATTCTGAAATAACCTATTCAAAAGCTGTGCTTTTAAACAATTTTTAAAAAGTAATCACTAAGTTGGAATGGATTTATAAAAAAAAATCATGCCAGACTACCCCATTCTCTCTTTGGATAGATTTACCATAGTATATATGGTATTTTGGCAAAGCATTTGGTGAGAAATTTCATGATATAAAAATAAGGTGAGGCATCTGGGTGGCTCAGTTAGCCAAGTGTCCAACTCTTGGTTTCAGCTTGAGTTGTGATCTAAGGCTCATTTGATCAAGCC